TGGAGGTTAGCCGATTCATCTCCCGGTAAAGGCTGCAGTCTCATGCTCTACTGTGCTAATTTCACAAGTAAAGCCAGTGGGAGGCAATGCCAGCTTTCTGTCTTCACTGGGCCTGATGCCATTTGAGACACTGATTCATATCAAGTGCTGCTGCTGCTGCTCGCACAGTTCGACGGTGAAGTGGGGATGAACGAGATGAATAGAAATAATCAGAATATTAATACAGCCATGTTTTTAAAAACGTTCCTTTTGGAAGCAGAACCGGGGCATTTCATGTATTTATTGTCCAGTAAATGCCACTGAAGCACCATTACAACATGAGGACTTGAATATTTGCTGTTGTGCGTGTTAAATATATTTTATATACATTTATTGTACCATGTAAACTTATGGCGTTTGCCCCATTAATGCCGATTTTCTTTAAATTAAACATCAAATTATCACCATGACTACACAATTTATATATATGAAAGGAGATCTAATAAAATGTATTCTGTTAAGTAAGAGAAACAGAAAGAAGAACAGACAATGACAGTCAGTGGTGAAATTGTATTGGCAATGTTTGCACATCTAAATAAAATACAGTAAAAAGCACAAACACCACCAGGTGTGATTTCAGACGGGCTGAAACATTGGAGGCACCTCTCATTATATCTCGCTGATTAGATAACACGGTTCATGCAATAACCTTACACCTTACAGCGAGCCCCCCCCCATCTCATTTTTGCAGTAGGGATATAGGGCAGCGATGAAAAGAAAGGTTGTGCAGGTACCGTGTAAAACTTAACCTCCAATATCTGCATCTCCTGAATTAAAGGGGAAAAAAACTTACATATGATGTAGAGCAGGTGAAGAGAAGAACTGGGGGAAATGGTTGACAGCATGACTGCATGCAAATTCCCCCCGACTTGAATTATCATAAGCAAACAGTGTGAGCCTGGACTAATAAAACCCCATCTGTGTAACTTCATATCGAGGTAGTATGAGGGCTGCGATAATGAATTTTGTAATATCCCACCGACAGACATCTCAATCAGACTCTAATCCTGTGATTTTACTACGGAATCACTGCACTTCCAACTGCTGCAGCCTGCACCAAAACACAAGATCCGGCTCATGAAAAATACGACGGGATTTATACAGTATATGAGACTGTACAAAAATCTGTCCCACGCTGGAAAAGAATATAATACAACACTGTGAGTGATACACCGGCGTTTTAGGCTCCAATGTGACACAAACGAGTAAAAACACACATCGACATAATGATGAGCTTGTTCATCTTGTTTCCATTATTTTGCCATCAGTCTTTTTTTGTGGAGGTACAGATGAAACTGTTCTTGCTCGCTGTAGTTTCCCGACACAGGTGAAGTTAAATTAGAAATAAATCGATGAATGATGCAGAGACGTTAAGGCCAAAATGCATATAGTGTAAAGTGCACGACCACCACCGCCGCCTTCACCCCAACTTTGTTCCACGAATGCCTTGACTTCTCTTATCACATCACGTTGCTCCCGCTGTTACACGCGTTGAATGTCTAGGTTTTGATTTTGCAAACGTGAAATATTTTCCTCAACACCACACAACTGTTCTTTCAGGCTCGACTGATTCCAAAATTACTGGCTACACAAGCAGAATTGTACATGCCAGTAAAGCACACAGGAGCCTGTTTGTCAGTCCTAGAGACTAACTGTGGCTCTTTTGTCTGTTTTTACAGAAGCGGTTTCCTCAAACTGGTATAATGGACTCCCACTGCCGCAAACTGGCCACCACCTGCGCGCAAATAGGTGAGTGTCCGACCAGTACGCATCGATCTGATGCATTTCTTCCAGCAGAAATTATATCCATGTTTAAATATAATATAATATGCAACATAAAATATTGTCAAATTGTCAAATCTGTAGAAATTATTTTAAAAAGATATTAAGGCCTATATGTTCATTTAGTGACACAAAGACTGACAGTTGCCAACTTCTATATCGACTAAATGCCCCAAAGCTAGAAAAACCCCCAAAACGACAGCCTCTAGCAAGTTTACACACAAACTGTTAATAATAATAAAAATGCATTTAATCATAGAAATTCTTCCGAAGTGACACAAACACTGACATCTTGTTTAATATGATTTGGTTTGAAATAGGTGACCTGTCCTGGTAGTGAGCCAACTGTTTCAGGTGTGTTGCTTTGTAAAGTGCCTTAAAACAAAAACTCTACTTATTTAATGAAAAAAGCTAAATAATGCAGATTTCTCCAGAAAATGTCGATCACTCCAATTTGAATTCTCACAAAAGTATCACCAATTGTTCTCTGCACAGTTTCAGCTCTGACTGAAAAACAAATAAGTTGCTTTATGAGTATATTTTGCAGTGTTTGTTTAGATTTTTTTAGCCCCTTTGCTCGTCAGTGTGGAGAAGTGTTTGATGAGTCCAGGTTGTTCGCTGTCTTAGAGCGACACCTGCTGGTCCGATGTCGAGCTGCAGCTTCGGTGCTGCACAGGGAGCCTGCAGACAGCAGCTGGGAGCCGATGTTATTTCATGTATTTAAAGATGGAGACATACAGTATATCTACTTATAATAGCCTAAAGTTCTACTTTTTGGCACAGTAAGGCCTTTATGAGACAGCAACGAAACATTTTCCCACGAATATTTCGTCACTATTTTAAAATCTATTCACAAAAATTGTGCTTTTTAAAATAATACCCTAGAAAAAAAATCCGATAACTGACTTAAAAAAAAAAGCTGAATCATGCACTAAAAAAAATCTTATTCCCCATTGTGGAGGGGAAATTACATCAGATCTCTTTAGGCTCTTGAACGAAGAACCAATAACTCTCATTGTGTTTCATTTAGCAGACACTGATGCTATAATGACAGATTGCAGACTCTTCACAGTTGCACATTGTGAACGATCATTGATTATGAATAACTGGAATAAGAAAAGAAAACCGAGGGGAGTCCGAGTGATGCCTGCGCACAGAGACACTACAGCGTCCACTGTTTTGCTGCAGCGCTGGTTGGATTGACTCCGGGGAAAACTAAATGTATAATCAAAGCCCATTCGTGAGGAGGAATATACTAATGGAGAAATCTGGTGTCTCCTTAATCCTATGTAAAAAGCCTTGTCGTCTTCCCTCTATATTGACTGAATTGCTAATTAATGGCCCTCTATGGCGGAGGCCTATTGCGTGCAGTAATCCGCAGAAGAGAGATAAAGCATTCAGAAGATAGAAATGAAGAGGAAACCGATAATCCACTTCAGGTTTAGTATTTCACTTCGACTGGAAGGAGAAAGGAGCAACAGCCTGTTTGCTGCTGGACATAAAATGAGAAATGAACATTATTATTATTGTTTGTTTGCTTGCTTATTTCTTCCATTTAAAACTACATTTTAGTGAATGGAAAGGATTTTATTGTGTACCAATGAAAACTATTATGGCATTAATCATAATAAAACTTATTATTAATGGCACATTAATGATACTAACCCAACACCGTGCATCATGTTAACTGGATTACCCAGAGACCATCCAAACAAGGTGTTATTGCTCTGTATGAGAGGGGATTGGCTCATTTGATAAAGCATCTTCCCTCCCTGTGTGTGTGCTGCACACACTCTACGGTCTGGTGGTATTTATATATCAGGGGCTTTCACAGAATTAGCCCCGTAACTTCTTATCAGTCCAAATGTGCTGGCTGGAAGGGCGTCCGCCTGGACACGTGGAGATGGGAAGTGTGCGATTCTATGATGAGTATAGTGATGGTGATGATGATGATGATGATGATACACTGACTGACAGGGGGTAGAATGCTATGAGTCGTACAAGTCCTGCTACGCAGCTGACACTTCTGCAGCCACAAGCCTCCAGTTTTAAAGCGCCGTTTATTAGATTAGACATGTTCTGGGAATTTCTGGTTCAGTAAATGTTGCTCACTACAAGCCCTCCTTCTGAAATTCTTAGGCAAGAGTCTTATCAGACCTAAGAAACTTTGCTGAAGTGCCCGCTGAGTACGACGGAGGGGGTCCAAACCAAAGATAGGCTATCCGTTTGTGCCCCCACCCCCCACCCACTCAGCCAAGCACCGAGATAAAGTAATCCGTCGTCAACGAACTGAGTCTGTGTGCTTAACGGTAGCTCCGGTGGGGCTGATTTAATTGATATGTGCCTCTAACTCAGGGGAGGTCAAGACGATCACCTCATTTGACATCTAAATGACTGACAATACATTCTGGTTAACAGCGGTGGAGTGAATAGTGAAAGGTGTTAGGCCGGTTTCGTCACCTTTTTATGGACTATTAAGAAAATTAACAATAGACAAAACAATTACAATTAGTTTCTGGTTGCTTGTCTTTAAGTTCTTCACGTTTTTAATTCCTTTATCTACAACCCCATGCAGCACATGTGAATGAGCTTCAGTTGACAAGTGTGCACACAGACAGTTTTGGCACATCCCTATTTTAACGTTACATGTATTCTTTCCTTTCACAAGATCATTGTGCTGCAGCGGGCTGATATGTTTGGTATTCTGTCCGCATCTTTTTTTTTCTTTGTACTATCAGTACAATCCTCTGAGTGGTTCGCTTTATCCACATTGAGTCCCTGAGTAAACTGCGGTGACAGAGCATGCGAGCCTGCGGCTCAGCTTGGGTTTCAATAGAACTGCATCGTTTTACTGGGCCACTGGACCCATCTCATAAAATGAGACCAAACTGTTATTTTCATTTTTATTTGGTCTTGGGCTGCTGCGCAACGGCACCTCGGAGCGTCGCGGGCACACCGTGCGTCCCATCTCTCTTTACATGCTTTTATTTGGAAAAGGGAAATAAGCGCCAGCCCCGGTATAAACACACTGGCAGACATATCTCGTTTCTGAAGGCTCCAGTTGGTTGGGCACACTGTCATATCCACAAGGATGTGCCTGTCAGAGAGAATATGGGCGGGCGCAATATGGTGACGCGGAAATGTAGAGAGGGGCGCAGTTGGACAGGCAGTGTGCAGGCAACAGCTGAAATGAACAGAGAGCCGCGGAGAGTGTGTGTGCATCTGGATCTAATATCAGCTACCTGTCCCTGTCACTCTGATAGTCAGCCGAGGTAGCCGCTGTTTACCACCGATGCTATGGCAAACCCCAATGGCCAATTTTAAAGTCTTTTCCACTTTATACATAAAAAGGGTTTCATCTCAGCCGCAACAGGAACCGCGCTGTTGTGCGTTTTTTGGAGAGCTGAACACATTCCACAGTCGGACCGTCCGATTATCCTGCCTGTACTAGGGGACTTAATCTGCTTTTGACAGCCAGTTGTGCGATCTTTTACCGATGAACTGTATGAAGGATCCTTTAAACACAGACCACCGCCACCTAACAGGGAATAAACTTGCCTCCACACACCACACGGCTCTGGCGATGGCCTCGAGTTTACAGCCGCTGCAGCGGTCTGTGGACTCTAAACATCGGTTAGAGGTGCACACGGTGTCGGACACGTCCAGTCCGGAGTCTGTCGGTAAGAACTGCTCAGGGGGCAGATGTTCTCAACAAGGCGCCGCAGATGTCATATCAAACTAAAGATGGCTCCCACTGCGTAAAAGGAATTCTATATTGATGCAAATATAGCAGATTCCAACTACTAGATAATGAGTTCTGATACTGGTCCGTGTGTTGTTGTTGTTGTGTAGCGAAAAGTTTCAGTGTTATGTAAATGAAACGAACTTGTCTTGTGTCAGCTACATTAGTCATATCCTCAAGACGAAATCAAAATATTAGCTACAAATCTCTCTGCACTTAGGTAAAATGCAAAAATCCAGAACATGAAATAAAGAAGCGGGCATGTTTTTATAAATATGAGCATGTCCTCGTCAGTGCATTCAGAACAGTTCATCTATTTCCCAAGTGTGGATTCAGGAACTTTTCTTGTATGGGCCTTGATCCACCTAACCCTGATTAAAGTACCTCGTTTCCCCTAACAGAAAAAGAGAAGATACAAAATAAAAACGACGACTCTTCGGATGATCCTTCCAAAAAGAAGAGGCAGCGGCGGCAGAGGACTCACTTCACCAGCCAACAGCTGCAGGAACTGGAGGCCACTTTCCAGAGGAATCGCTATCCGGACATGAGCACAAGGGAGGAGATAGCCGTGTGGACCAACCTCACAGAGGCCCGGGTCAGAGTGAGTATTCCTGGGGTGAAAAGAAAAGTAATACGTGTGTATAATTTCGGTTAATATGCGTTAATATGTCCGGTTCAGCTATCAATATCCTTTACCTTAATATTAGGCACGGACAACAAAGTTTACGCACCGCTGAAATTTCCCTGAAAATAAAAATAAGAGAGCACAGTTTTAGAAAAATACTGCTGGTTCCAGCTCAGTTTAATTAGACTGCATAGGTTTAGTTAATAGACTAAATGAAATTACAACCCCAGTACAAAATAGTAAATGTTAGCACAAGTTCATTTGTGGTTCATCTACATGTTTGCAACAGTTTGGTAATAAAGCAGGACCAAGCCTTCTGTTATTTGTCTGTTAAGTGTAATTACACATTATTCGCGCTGTTAACAGTTTAAGCTTTTGACACTAACCGGTGACAGATACCAGTTGTAATCGTCTGCTCGTGTGAAAGAGGTGTAAAGCTTGTATCCTGCGATTGTTGCCCTGGTGTTGTGTGATTAAGGGCAGAGTGTTTGTGGAAGCCGGCGGAGGAATACACATCCTCTGCACATTAAGGTGGTGCAGTGACAGCCCAGTGTGTATTGTGCCCAGATAAAGACGGAATCAGAGCAAAACTCTCTGCGCAGGAAAATAAAAAAATAATTAAGACGATTTGGATTTAGACACGTTGAGATTGTTAGTTAACAAAACTTTATTTAATATTAAATTTAGCACTGATTGCACACAAATAGGGTGGGTCTGACATTAAAATGCAGAAGTCAACGCAAGCGCAGTTGCTGCTAGGACTAGGAAGGAAGATAGAGGCTATAAAGGATTAAATACAACTTTAAATATAATCTCTAACCCTCTCACGTTTCTTTTGCTCTAGGTGTGGTTTAAGAATCGGCGAGCCAAGTGGAGGAAACGGGAAAGAAACCAGCAAGCCGAGCTTTGCAAAAACGGGTTCGGCCCGCAGTTCAATGGACTCATGCAGCCCTACGACGACATGTACCCCAGCTACACGTACAACAACTGGGCTGCCAAGGGCCTCACGTCGGCGTCCTTATCCACCAAAAGCTTCCCCTTCTTCAACTCCATGAATGTCAACCCCCTGTCCTCGCAGACCATGTTCTCGCCGCCCAATTCCATATCATCCATGACTTCCAGCATGGTGCCATCTGCGGTGACCGGCGTGCCAGGCTCCAGCCTCAACAGCCTCAATAACTTGAACAATCTCAGTAACCCGTCTCTCAACTCGGGGGTGCCCACACCTGCGTGCCCCTACGCCCCTCCGACCCCTCCTTATGTGTACAGGGACACTTGTAACTCCAGCCTGGCCAGCCTGAGACTGAAAGCCAAGCAGCACTCGAGTTTTGGATACGCCAGTGTGCAGAATCCGGCCACGAATCTGAGCGCTTGCCAATATGCCGTGGACAGACCCGTCTAATACCTACATGCACTGCAAAAAATAACCACCTTAGCAAGTCATCAGAGGCCAGTAGTGACGTTGAAACTGTTTTTTTTTTCCTCGAAAGGAAGAGAGTATGACAGATCACTTTACTTTTTCATGCGTTTCAGAAAATCTTTCGAACAGCTGCTGATTTCTTGGTACTATTGGCTTTTATTTTTTAATTTTAATTAGGCGAACCTTTCCTTCAATATCTCACAATTTGTTCCTTAAAAATCCCCCACATATGTTAAAAAACACAGGACATTATCCCACCACGCTCTGTTGACACGTTTATTTTTAGGAACATTTTGGTTTTCAGGGTGGTTACAAGACCAAATGGTTTGTTACGGTAGTCATTTTTTGCAGTGTGCGGGTAATCACGAACAACCGGCCACAGGAACAAGAGACTACTACTTTTTCATTTTTCAAAAAAAAAAAAAAAGGGCACTAGAAGACTGAACCACTGAAACGAGCTCAAGTCCAGGTCGGAGTCAAACTGAATCGGGAGTTTTTAGGTTTGATTCCCTTTTTGACGAGTCCGGGCCTGCTTCACACTGCGCCACAATAAAACAACACAGGTCGGGTTCATGCTTCGTCATGAGGGTTCTCTGGTGGATTTTGGACGTTAATTACTGACTGATATGGTTGTATATATATATATTTGAATCATCATCTCCTGTTTGTCAAGGCGAATGTGCTATAACTCTCCAGTTGTCTTCAATTTATCAACGCATGTGGGGAAAAAACCCTAAAAGGAATCATGTTTTGCTTGCAAACAAAAGGGAATGTACATACTAAAACGCACCAGTTGTGTGTTTCTAACATATTATAAATTTATTATTAATGTCTGTGTGAATATCGATTTAGAATAGAAATTCTGGATTTAAAAAAAAGAAACATCAAAAATGTTCCTGCGACAAATTATTATTTGTTTTTGTTTTTTTTGTTCTGTGTATACTATTTGGTACGGGATTATGTTTTTTTCCCAACATCCCCCCACCCCCCACCCCCAAAAAAACAACAAACAAACAAAAAAAAACTATTGTGTTTTATTTAATGGAAGTAAATATATTGTAAATCATTTTCCTGGGAACTTTTGTTGAATCTTTGTGTTAGCAGTAAAGCAGTGGGGTGTAGAGCAGTGACAGTCTGTCTATAGCCTTTCGATTATGTCTAATCTATAGAGGAAAACAATGGTTCGCTCCAATACACATCAAGGCGAGATGCTCCGTCAGATTAACTGCTGAATACATGTCTGCATGTTCAGCCAAGGGTCCCGACTGGTCATTGGTGCTTGAAATAACACGGGAATCAACAAACAGGAACTGGACCACACAGCAGCGATAGGA